GTTAGCAATTCTGAAACTTATATATACTAACATTGAATAAAAAAGCAAATTTCTTTTAAACTGTGGAAGCCAGTTGTATGTTAGAGAAAGACTAACACTGTGCTGTTGAACTAGAATTGGATTGGAACTATGAACTCATATATACAATGACTAATGTAGATATAGACATAAATGTACATGTATGCTGCATGGGGAAAATATATGTATTTATACACACATACACATGTATATATACATGTGATCTTTCTCATTAAAATTCATGTACCTCTTTCAAGACCAGCTCAATGCTAACCTTCTCCATGAAATCTTCCAGTTTGACTTCTGTAGATTCCCATTTTGCTTTATGATTCTCTTATAGCATCTGTCAGATTTGACTTGCACTTTTGTACATATCTTAGATTTTTGTACATATCCAGATACCGAACTCTTAAAGTTTGCTTATTTGGATTTTCTTTTACAACATCTTCCTCTGTCTCTTAAACTGTATAGACACTCAGTAAATGTACTGAATGGGATTTGATGTTGGAGATATCCAGACACAAATCTGAACATGTAGAAATTATAACATGTCTTTGAGGTAATTGGTTATCTTCAAGCTAGACTCCTCCTCAGTACTGTAGAAGGCCCAAAGATACTCTTCAGGGTTCAGTCATGAGCCCTCAACCTTTTCCCTTTTACTATATCTTCAATATTACTTAGTCCCCATGGCTATGAAAACTAAATGCTGATCATCTCTGAAGGTGTATATCCAGCCTTAACTTCTCCTCTGGGAAACTTGGGCATCTTCCTGATCCCCTTGCCGTTTTCCTCTCCCCATTTGCCTCCAACCCACAAGGGAGGCGTGTGCCAGCTCTCTTCCAATTCTCCTTCTAAAGTTAGCGCATCACTCTCCCTAGTCTAAGCCAGAATCCTCTCTCACTGAACTTCTGAAGGCTTCTGAACTACCAATTGTTTTACATACTTTATTTCAACTCATTTTTCATAAAGCAGTTAGAATGATTGTTTTTAACATCTATATTATATCACGTGTCAGTTTAAATTTTTGAAAATTCTTCAGTGACTCTCCATGGTGCAGAATAAAATCCAGTCCCTTTGTTTTTGTCCTCGTCTCTGCACACAGCTATGCTCCCAGTCATGAGCCTACAGTCAATTCCTAAACTCAGTGGTCTCTTCCTTTCTTTAGGGCTTTTGCAACCACATTTTACTTCTACTATAACAGAGTTTCTCAAACTCTCTGGAGAAGTATCAAATCTTTTTCCCCCAATCTATCAGAATTATATGTAAAAAAATAAAATAAATAAAATAAATCAACTCTCAGGAAAAAAATTAAAGAATGTTTTCTTTTTAGATTTAACAGACATAAAGTTAGTCTTATTAAACTGCTATAAATGTTACAAATACTACTACTCAGTTTCTGTACACATCTCGTTAGGGTCCAGGAACAGTTTTCTACTGAGTAGCCCAATGTTAGAATACTGTATGTGACTGATACAGTATCAGTCCGTTTTTTTCACTAAGGTATATAGACTGCAAAGTCAAACAATGTCAAATATGATTTGAGACTAATTGATTTCTCAGAGCCTTTACTGTGCTGATATGAAGTGTGAAATTCCTAGAGATGGGTATAAAGTACAGAGTTTCCCAAACTCATTTCACCTTGAACCATTTTGTTAGGATATATTCTATAGAATGCATTGTAGATCATGCTTATCTAAAGAAACACCTGGAAAGTTTGAATATGCTAAAACTACTTTTACCAGGTTATAAATGTTAAGGTGTACTGATATGGAAACTTAACTTGCTATGATTATTTTGTTATTGGAGAAGAAAGTAGAGGACTGGAATTATGCCAAATATTTTGTGGGGTAAGGGTGTGTGATGCTTATTTGCCAGATTTCTGTTTCCTTCCCTTCCCTTTTTTTTAACAGAAAATTAAATTTCCCAAATTTCTCAGCCAAATAATTTTTGAATAGGTTCTTTTAAATACAAGCACTCATAGGAGATTGGAAAGATGAAAGAAAATAAAATATTTATTTTGTTTGTTTATTTGTAATGATAACTGCTTCTGACAGCAATAGTAGCCTTCTGTGGTTCCAGCACTGTCCACAGCTCCAGGAGCAGAAAAGCAGCAGTAAAGTCAGCAGGCTGCACCCTCTGTGGCTTTTGGCAGCTGCAGCACGTGACAATCAAGTTGGTAGCAACGTGCTTTCAGGCCTCCAACCTTGTCTGCTGGGAGCTGCCCCCAACAAGGTCTCCCCTGCCCCTGTGCTCCTCCAGCTAAGCCAAGGCTGGTAACGACTTCCTGTAGTCCCTGGCTCTGTGTTGCACACCTTTGGCCTTTTGCTCCTTCAGGCCTTCCAGCACTTTTGAAACCAGTTTCTTGTATGAAATCCCTTCTGTCTGAAATACCTGCAGTGGCTTCTGTTATTTTCAGACTGAACATTGGTTGATTATGGGACCAAGATAGGAAAAGGTGACACTGTCTCTTAAACTGATTGCATGAGAATAGATAAATGTCCTCTCCTCTGATGTCAGTAGGAGTAAGAGCAAGAGAAAGACCCGGAGCAAAATGAAATAATAATGGGAACCAATATCATGAAGAAAACAAGAGCCCAAGATTCTAATTTCCATCATTCATGGGGTGACTCTTGTGCATTATTTGGCTATTCTTAACCTGACTGTCTTCAACTTCTTTCCTCACTTGATCGTTTCCAACACCAAAGGGCAGTTCTTCTTACAATCTCTCTCAATCCACCCAAAACTACCTTCCAATAAGTGCCCTGAGTAAAGGCAGTGCGTTTGCTCTGCCCATGCAGGTTCAGGACAGGTCTCCCAGGTTTCAACTGGACTGTCACCCCAAATCCTAAGTAAAATCTTGAGTTGCCACTATTCAGCAGTTATTTATTAAATATTACTCTTGGGAGGCACTGGGCAGAGGAAAAATAAGTTCACGTAATGATATGTGGGAGACAGGCAATATGTACAAAGAGCAGTAAATCTTTCAGCAAAACAAGAGCTATCCTAGAGGTACAAATTAAGGCAACAAGAACTGGTAGGAAGGAGCAATTAATTCTATGGGATTCTTCAAAAGGCTTCCCAGATGGTGCATGTAGTTGGGCAGAGAGCTCATGGGGTGGAGTGAAAACAGTGGAGACCAGAAAGATGTAGTGGAGTCAGATTAAGTGGGACCTTCAGAGCCCAGACCTGTTACTATCCTTGATGGTGTTAGAGACCCATAGGAGGCTTTTACATTAAGAAGGGATGTGAAGATATTGTTAAACTTGCAATATATAGATACAGGATACAGTTGTTGAGGAATAAGGTTGAAGAAAACCTTGAGCATTTTCTATTTTATACAATAACTGTTACACTTAGGGTATATATATAATATATGTATATGATATGTTACACTTAGGGGGGGTGTGTGTGTATATATGAAAGAATGAAATCAGTGGGATGCTGAAGACATAATAAGCAAAAAGAATTGCCTTAACAAACTGTCATAATAATAACATAGCCTAGTCAACTGAAAAGTTGTGAGAAAGAAATTATGTCGAAATAGTAAAAATGAAGTTTTTACCTTGAGCCATTTTGGAATTTAATATCTCTGAACAATCTAGAGTGAAAATAATACTTAAGTTTCCAGATATTACTGATTTGGATGGACACTCGGAAAAATAAGAATATTGTTTATAAAGAAGCTGGAAATGAGATTCAAGATTGCATATAAGAAACAAATTACAGAAATATATTCTACACTCATTTAATTCCTATATAATCCATGATCAGTGAAGAATCAGTAATGGCATATAGATATTTTTGAATACCATTACATGGGAAATTAGTTATGTATTTTCAAAGTTAAATGACAAAAATACCGATAAAGTCAGCACTATTATGAGCTACATATAAATCAGGAATTTTATCCCCAATGAGAAAATTTTAATGCTCTCAAACAACCTTAGGATAAATTGTGCCTGAAATATCATTTGCTTTGATTAGCACTCTATCAAAAGATGGAGACAAATTGAATGGAGAAATAAGAAAAGCAGTTTAGTATTGAGGAAATTGATTTATGAAAAAATATAGGAATAAAATATGTACAACTTTGTGAAGAGATGACTAAGGAATGATGACAGCCTATAAATATTTGAAAGGTATAAACATCCAGTAGTAGGAGGAATTATTTAGCATGTTATAAAGAGATAATTACAGTTTATGGGATGAAATTAGACAACCAAGGTTTGAAACATGCAAAGCCACCTTTCCAGGGATAATGGAAGCCTTGTATTTGAAAGCATAAATTATGTGATCTTTGGGACACCTGAATGCTTATGACTGTTTTTTTTTTTAATTTCTATTTTTAAAAAAATATAATTAATTCAGTGAAAAGAAATATAAATCTCCTAAGTACAATAAATACTTGATTATTTTATATATTCTGTACATTTAATTGTTTTAAGAGATTTTCAAGTGGCTCACTCAATCATTTGGAAATAGAAATACAGAATGCAAACGAAATCCATACTTTCCCAATCTAATGTTAATCTTCTTTTCCACTAGACCTACTTACTAGCAGTGAACAAAACTCATTAATTGGAATTTTGCCTAAACATTACTAAAGGATCGTAACTCATTGATTTAGAGCAATTGGAGTTATGTACCTAATTGAGGTAAAGACAAATGTTGGCTGCTTTTACATTGAAAAGAATAAAGATTTTATTTGCACTTGACACTAATAACTGCCTCTTTCTTCAATTGCTTCCTTCTCTTTAAAAGATCTAAATTTCCAGCTGTAATCACGTTCCCATGCCCATGTTCCATGTCTCATACTGGATGTCATGTTTCCTCAAACTCAATGGACTCCAAATCAAATTTGTTTGACAAATGAAATACAATTTGCTGCACATTTTGTGTATACCAGGCCCTATGCTGTCAAGCAAGAGATAAAATCATGATTATAAAAGGAATCCTACAGGGATGAGTTCCCAGATCGCCTCTTCCTAACCTTAGCTATATTTCCCAGTTTTAAACCACCTCATTCTGTTATAAACACTAAGTCTGGGTTCCCAAGAAGTGCTTGATTGAGACTCTGGTGTGTGTGATTTATTGAGAAAGCGCTCTCGGATGAAAGGAGGAAGGGTAAGCAGGATTGGGCAGGGGAAGGAGCTAAATTAGGCTGTGGTCCCAGCTGGAGTCCAGCTTCAGCCTGATGCCATGGACAGCTATGGAGCTTAAATCGTACCACTGAATTGATCCCACCTTGAGGCAAGAAGGATTGCCTCTTATACTTCCATGTCCATTAATTATTGATTGTGGATGGCTATCTCTCCAGAGGGTGCCATGAAGGGGGCCATTATCAATTAACTCTCAAGGCAGCTGGGGATGTATGCACCATCTGGTAAAGGACATCTGACTCATTGCCAACCATGCCTGCTATCAACACCATCACTCCTCTGACCACTTAGGGTCACATCTACTATTCCAGTCGAGCCATGCCTGATTCATCACTATATCTTGAAAATTCTTGCTCTGTACTCTGTCTCTGTGTCCCTCCCGTCTCATTTATTCCCAATCACCACTTGGAGTAGTCTAATTCCTTATTAATTCACACTTAATCTACGATCATATTCATTTAACCAGTCCCAATATTTGCAAAGGAAAAAAAAAAGCATCACGATAGGTAAAGCATCACTGGGGTATGCTGGAAAGTTCATGCTCAGTTTGAAAGAGTCAACCTCTACTTAGCTCCAAATGTGGGAATCTGTGCCCTATGTTGCAGATCTTCTAATATTTTAAGAGAAGCTAGAAATCATTTTTATCTAAAGACTTCTAAATGTTGTAAGTAGTAACTAATTCTAGTTTTTTTAAGTTCTGAGGGAGAAGAAAAAAACACATCTACATATCAAATGCATTCACCACAGCCATTTTGCAAATTCTGGCCAAAAACCTAAGACAAAAGATGAATGTAAGTAAATAACTGTAGGTCATTGTGAAGAGAGAGAAAAATCTCAAGGGAGATGCAGATAAAATGCTTCAGAGGTTAGAAAAATGAGTAGACCCTGAGCCTTCATGACTAAGGCCCTTGTCTTTATTAAAATTATCCTCTCTGGTATCTAGCACAGTGCGTGGCATATACAAATCCTAAACAAATGTTCAAATCAACAGAGGAACAAGCAAATGAACCATTTGTTGTTGGGATTGCAAAAGAGCAAGGACAGAGTACAGAATGAAGCAATTATCCTAGTAGCTGAGAAGCAAAGTTGAAGCTGTCACACGCTGTCCACTGGGATTCTGTCAGCCCAAGTCACTCGGAGTCCCCACTTTCTCTCTCTCTCAGCTTCTAGCACAAAAAGCATGTGTCAGTGTGTCATTAAATACTGTTCTTGCACTTGCAGGCAACAGCACCAAACAAAGAGAAGAGGACAGACCTAGTCTTTAACAGTAAATGAATTTCCATCAAGTCTATTTTATGGGGTGTTCAGCAGTAGTGTGGTGTATGGCCACTACACATCACAACCTCCTTCAGAAGTGCCCTGTATCCCCCAGTACACCCAGTATGGGTAGCTCTTTCTTTTCATGCCACAGACTACTGACTGCCAGACCTTCTTAAGGGACCTAAGTCAGAAGCAGCTCTTGGAGTCATTACAAAAGGGTAGTGACTTTGGACCACATTTGGCCATCACCAGCATCAAAGTTCCACTGATGCCTGCAGGAAAAATCTGAACCACAGAGCAGAGCTGAGGCTAGGGAGGCACATATTCCAGCTGGTTGACTCCAGGGATCTCAAGCCCTTTTCCAGAATAATCCACATGCTCATGCATCCTTCCCATCACCGTGTAACCATTTCATAGCAGTTTGTGATCACATGTTTCTTTGTCCTCATTGGCATCTAAACATGAGGTGATTTCATTAGTGTTTGATGTCTGGGCCAATCTCTCTAGGATGCTTCTCTATTGTCCGCTATGACTGAGTTTGGTTAGGAAATCATCTCTACATTCTGGACCTCTCAATTGCCTCAACTTTATCAGGGGGCATTTGGGGTTCTCCTCTAGCCTGCTTAGGTTAATAAGTCTCGAATATAAACATTATCTATGTTGTGCTTGTTGTCTGAACTCTACCACACAATCCTCTTGGCTGCTCTTTTTTTTTTTTTTAATAAAGTTTATTACATAATGGAAATTATTTTCACTATATATGGACTTAGGTCTTGAAGAATTAGTCTTTTGCTAATTGGCCCACCTCTGCCGTCCCTTCTTGTGCTCCTAGAAATACCTACTCACCTTTTGCACCCACCTGGCGAAAACCCAATCTTGGATGAATCCAGCTCTCTGCCTGCCTTGCCTCTGCGCTGCTGAGTACTGCAAAAATATTACACAACAAATGAAGTCCTAGTTTGTATATTTGTTCTCTTTCTGCAGACACAGGCTTCTTCCTTAATAGAAACTAGGAGATTTCAGGCAGGAACTTCTAAATTCCTGGTGGCCGCACATCTAACTGTAACTACAGCACTGCCCCTCCTGTCTGCTGCAGATGCTGCTGTGTCCTCTGTGGGGAACACCTCTGATGGTGTCAGGAGTCTGCCCTCTCATTCCTCTGGTCTTCAACCTCTTCCTCCCTACTGCAGCCTTGAAGATAGCTAAGGACATCCTCTTCTGGTTTCCTTGTCACAGCTTACTGTTTTTCCCTAACCTTCCTTTTAGTGCCTTTTCCGTGTTTTACTGCCTCATCTTCCTTTCAATTTTGAGTCGCCTTGGGAGGCCATCCTAGGTATCCCTCTTTACTTTTCACCACTCTATCTCAAAAGATTTCAGTCCTTTCTTGTGGCTTAATTTGCCATCTATCAATATATGCTGATAGCTTTTTAAATAATTTTGTATTTGTGTCTATAAAAATGAAACATGGTCATGTAACAAATCAAAATAAGTTTATGAAGAAAATTATGTGCCCTCTTCCTTACTCATACATAGCCCTACACATGGGAAGTGCCCTCTTTTGACCATTGCTATCCTTATTTCTGTTATCTTCATAACTCCAGGTAGTATGCTTATGCTTCAATTTCAAGATGTTTCACATTTAGACAATGTCTGCTGACTTCCCGATATGAAAGGTGGGAGAATAGCTCATGAAACACTATTCATCCCCCTCTTTCGCTCTTCCCCTTCTAGCATTTATAATTTATATCATTTTTTTCTGTCAGTTATCCTTGTAAATTTAAATAATAAAAATTAAATCTCTGGGTTTTTTTCCCATCAACTTTCAAAAGTATTTAATTCCTCATCCCGTGTCTTGACTGTCAGAAAGTAAACAGTGAACAGTCTTGTCTTCCTTCCCTTTCCACCTCCTTTCTTATGTCAGCTACACTTGCAATACATAATATTTTGTGATCCTAAATGTCTCAAAATGGAGTCACTTATGACAGGTGACTCAGCTCACTTGTGAAATTGCTAACCCCTCAAAGTGATAAGCATAGGTATGGTGGACTGAGGTGATAGCGCCTGCTGTGGCCAGGTACCTGGAGACCCTACAAGAAAGTGAAGCCAAAAAGCGGCTGAGGGTAATGACCACAGACACTCTTGGGGGAGTGGAGAGGTGGACCTAAAAACGGCAAAGAAAATGACCATGGCCGACACACCTGCAGATGCTCTGCCCATGAGAATTCTGAGGGCTTCTTTCCATTCACAGTGGCCTCTGGAAGTTCTGCCAGAAGAGCAGCAAATCACCCCACCCCCAACGCCACCCCTATCCCTGTTGGTTGCATGTCCAGGGAAATCTGGACTGCCTGGCTCATCAGTCAGCATGCTGGTCTCCACACCTACTCTTCATGGTTCATTCCTGTCTCTCTCATGACTGCCTGTGTGTGTCTAACATATTTACATGATTGTTGGTGTGTGAAAGTCCTGCCATAAACTGTGAATCGAAAAGCATTTAATTGGCCATTGAGTCATTGTGAACAGCCCCCCAGGCCCCACCCCAGTCAGAGTCAGCACATCTAGGCTGATTTGAACCTTACACTGTAACTTGGGCTTTGCAGTTATTTTCACCCTTCTACTATAACCAAATCTGTTTTGCTTAGTGTAGAAATTCATGCTAAAAGACAAACCAACAAACAGCATCATTATTACTATTAAATATAAGCAATATTTATATTGCTATTATGTTGTAGGCACTATTTATTGTTGAGTCAAATAATACACTTTCTTATCCAATTTCATAACCCCTAGGCCACTGCTGGATGATTCCAAGCATCAAGATCAAATGGATTACCTTCTCTTACACTCTCCAATTATTTAAAGTTATGCACCATTATTATTTCATCATTTGTAAATAGAGACTTTCTTATATATTTTTGTCCAAAATCTATAATCGCCTTTCTCTGGTTCTTGCATCATTTGCCCTGACATCTTCGTATTTTCAGACTCTACATTATGGTGTGCCATGAACTCCCTTTCTCCCCAGCCCTCTATTCTCCTGGCCAATCTGACAGGCCTTGTCTTTGGTCCTCTGCATGTCGGTCACCCAGGAAATTCCCTTTCTTTCCCTTTCCGGTTTAAATTCCTTAATCTTTCGTTTTCTTAGATATGCCCTTGTTTTCCTGGAGTACACTCAGGTAATTTATTAAAAAAGAACATTTATGTGACAAATGATCTGATGCTTCACATGTCTGAATTTTTGTTTTGTTTTGCTTTCATCTTGGCTGCGAGTTTAGCTGATTATAAACTTTGAAGGTACTGCTCCCCTGTCTTCTAGCCTTCATGGTTGCTGATTCCAGACTGATTCTTGTTCCTTTGTCATTGATATATTATTTTCCAAAGTTGAAGCTCTTATCTTTATTAGTGCTTTGAAACTTCATGCTGCTTTGTCTAGGAATGGCCTTTTAGTTCATTTTCCAGGTACCTGGTGGGCCTTTCTTATCTGAAGACTATTTTCTTAGGCTAGGTGTCCCAGCAAGCACACCTGAGATAAAATTTTATTATTGAGAAGTTTAATGCCAAGCAGGAATGAGAGAAAAT